AAGAATGTCTAATTAATGAAATAAAGCATAAGTGATTTTTATATTCAATTATTAATGTGAACCAAATTCTGATTGCAACTATATATGGATAAAAACAATATATGATTAAAGATTCGATAAAAATGAAACAGAGAAACTAAGATTACTTCTTATAATCTCCTAAGAAGGATCCTGGTTCTCAGCTTTGGATGATCTGTTGAAGATGGACGAATTCATGATGATTTTGCGCCCGATGCCTTAATGATTCTCAATTAAGTACTTAAATTGATGAAATAATATTTAGTAACATAAGCTATCTATTCGATTTTCTTCCGAAATACAATAAACTGCTTTTTTTCTGAATCTAAACCTTCAGAAATCATATGTCTGTCTTTGTGTTTTAAAGATCATCATATGGATGTATAACTGCCGATCAGTTTTACAAGTTAATGTTTAGATTTATTAATCAATTTCGTGATTTTAAGTTATTTAATAATTTTCAGCTTTAAGCAGGATATTCATCAAATAAATCTATAATACCGAATTTCTTAATTCTTGTCCTATTCTATAGCAAATTATCTGGGCAATTAGGATACTATTCCTTGTGTATTTATTTAAGTTATTTAATGGATTCTAGATATTTAGTGAAAGGATCTTACAATTTAAATATTCATATATAAGGGCTTCTTATGATACTACAAATGATACATTATCATCTAGTTTATCCTCTAAATAACAGTTTTCAATTATTATGAATGAAATACTATTTGCTGGTTTAATGGTTGAAATGATAGATCATATACTAAGACTTAGCCTATTTCAAATTTGAATTGTCAATTCATTATAAATTGAAATTATGGGAATGGTTGTAATGGATAATTTCTGAATATACAGATACTAACAGTGCATTATAAGAACCTGTTAAGGGTCTTATGGAAGGATCAAAATACAATTTGGCGGAACTATTTGTGTATTTCTGGAATAGATATAAATAAATTGCTTTGGTAATGATGACTTAAGTTGGATATCTTGTAGTCAAATTTATCAATTCGAAATTTTAAAAGACTATGGATTTAACAATAATAGTAGAATGTGACCTAATCTTTCAATTTACAGAGTTAATTAATTGTAGAGGAAGAACAAAGAGATAATTGAATAAAAGTCTTTTGGATGGTTGCCCTAATAAATTATGTGATGCAGATCCACTAATTTTATATCTCCATCAACTGAGAATAATATCTTAGAAATTATATTGCAAGGAAAAGTTTAAGTTTATGAAATATATAAAAATAAAATCAGGGCTTTCCTGGTAGAAGTTTGACATTATTTTCGTCAAAACGAGTTCCCATAAAAGAGTTACTAAAAGCATACCTTGAAAACTTCTTTGCATTTTTAGTAATAAATCCTTCTTAAAGATCTCCATTATTATATCTAAATGGTTCATTGTTTAATTTATAGGATTGATTTATTTAAAAATTATGATAAACATAATGTTTTAACAAATTTTAAAATTGACAAAATATTACTGAAATAGGTTTAAATATATTAGAATTCAATATAAATAAAAAGGAATGAAATTTTCAAAGAAATAGCATGATTTCACGTTTATTTTAATTTTTGAGTTTGCTTATTAATGACCATATTGTTTGAAAATCATTAAACTTAGTTATCTCTGGAAACATTCTATTATTTCATATTTTGAATTAAAGGTTTAAAAAATTAGATCTATTAATTGAATTGCATATTTTATTAAATAGTTATTTATAATAGAAAGATTTGTCAGCAACATTTTAGAAGTTATCAATAAGAAAGTATTTCCTGATGAAGCTGTAATAAATTCTCATTTGAAACTTGTTTTAGTATTACATTAATATATATGGGGAGAAGTTGAGTTAACACTTCTTTCGAAAATGATGAAAATAATAAGGTTTATTTTGTATTATTTATATTTAAAAAAAGGATTTTTATATAAAGAATTAAAATATTGTATTTTGTACTTTGTGAAAAGGATATATATGATTAAAAATGAAAGATACACCGAAAATGAGAATAGAGGAGATAGTAAGAATGTGGATGACAAGGTGTAAAGATTCAATAAGGCAAACATATTGACTTTTATCAACTAAAAATGGTTGCTTTAATTTTAGTAAGAGACTAGGACAAATGGAAAGTGTACTAGCTATTATTTAATCTTGAAGAAATATGTAACCTTAATGAATACAATATGGAACCACCTGAGATTTGTGCATTAGGGGACCTGAAACCATTAATGGTGTAAGG